GAAAAGATGAGACATACGGAGATTAAGTATTATGCCCAGATTCACAGCAAAGCAGAGGTAGGAGTAGAACCCAGTTGTAAGTCCTCCCAAGAATACTCATAATGGTCCAAAATCAGCCCCAAAATGCAAAATTCATGAAACCCAGACCCCCCGCCTTTTCAAATACAAATAGTAATGCCAAAGTACCACAAAACCCTCAAAAACTCAAATAAAACGTAATCTGAGGTGATTGAGTTTTACAATGTAAAAATGTTGTTCCCCTATGAAATCTTAAACTAAATGTACAATTTTTCTGTTAATTTGTTTGATATAACCTAGAGAAGGTCAGAACATTCATTTTTTGGTCAACTAAAATTCTTAAAATATAGTTCTGGTAAAGTTTTGTTTTGCAAATAACTACAGAATTGTTTCTACTTATGCTGCAAACTATAGGCCTAATCCTGCAAACAACCATGTGCTTAATTTTAAGCATGTAGGTAGCCTTACTGACTCTTGTGGGATTATTTCTGTGCTTAAAATTAAGCATATGTGTCGAACTTCTAGGACTGAGGCCTTCTGCATTTGATGCTTTCTGGAAACCTTGTTCAGAAACATTTGTGTGTCTGTTTCCCATGGTTAGTGTATATTTCGTCCTTCATTCTAAATTTACTAATATTTACATTCTTGTAACATTGTTGTTTTTTAAGAGATCATCTGCTCCCACTGCTTTTCTCTGCTTGAAACCACCATCCTGTCTGATGTCATAAACATTTCTGTAGGAGCCAATTTTGATGTCACAAACAGAAGCTTCAAGCAGGAGATAAATGGCAGGACAGTAAAAGAAGCAGATGAGTTCTTTACCCTAAGATCTTTGTGTTTTTAAGTCAACCCAAAGGCGAATAAAAACAACTCTGATGATGTTGGTGGACTGTTACTACTAGAGCTCAGTTCAGACCTGATTCTTCCCAACAGCTAGTATTAGCTAGGAAGAAAAGGAAGCAGAAACAAAATGTTATGGAACCTAATTCTCATTTCACTCCAGTTGGTGTGAATCAGAAGCAAAGACCTTCTCTGAAGCCATTTGATTTACAACAGTATAGAATCATTGTGCACAGAAGCGTAAAAGGAGAGAAGCATAAATGGAGCTATGCCAGTGTTACACAGGCTGAGGACCTGCCCCCTCCGATGATATGAATGTCTAGTCCTGAAGTCCTTGATGACTATTAAATGGGGAAGAACCCTTGACATCTTGTTTCAAAAGCAGTTTTTCCCAGTTTTCCCCCAAGGAGACAAGTCCTCATTGGTGTAAATTAGCAGAGTGCCAAGTGTAAATTAGTGTCACTCCTTCCACTTAAGAGCTACATCAGTTGAGGATGTGGACCATAATCTCAAACTTGACCTGTGACCTCAGTGTCACAGTGTATTAATGATCTTCAGAGTGGAAGGATACTGGAAACAAATGCATGCTTTGATTTGGGAGGCAGGGAAGGGGGCTTTTCTATGAATACACACAATTAGCACAACACATTCATTTCTAGAGTGTAACTTGTTTCCACCTGTTTCTCAAATGGATTCTGTTGGCCAGCTGTGCTGTCACAGCCTAGCACTGAATAGGAGGTGGTGCAGGGATGCGTGGCCACCATGGTTTCTCTTTGGAACACTGCACTTGATTCTCCCCTGCCTTGTAGTCTGCATTGTTGTTTGAGCTGATTGCAAAAAAAATAAAAATAAAAATTGTCAAAGTCGTTTTCCACCAGACAATGCCATTTTTGGTGGAACAAATATTTTTTTTTCCAGAGACTATGATGTCACTGAGACTCTTTTTGATAAATTTGGTAATATTGTTTTCAGAATGGAAAGTACTTTGGATTTTTTTGATGTATTATTTTTTAAATGTAACTTTTAAACTTTTTTCGCTGTAAAACAATGAGGAAAACTGATCATTAATTGACAACCCATGATTTTTTTTACAATGTTCTTTTGTAAAATATTTGTCCCAATTATGATGATTTAGGAAAAAAAGTCTCTCCCTCCATCTCCTGCTCCAGGCTAGACAATCCTTTTTCTGACCAGCTCTATTCATGATCCTGGTTTCCATGTGGACTTATTCATGTACAGTTGTGATTTAGCATTTGTGTTCAACTATATATCAACATACAAAGGCCAAGGCAGTGGCCAGTTGGTTCCAATCCCTCCTCAGATCCAAACCATTTTTAGAAGAGTGCTACGAATGCTTCCTTCTGCAGGTAATCCTCTTCAAGGGCCTGCAGGACAATAAGGGCATAGGCTATGCTCTACCAACTAAACCTGTTGTTAAGAATCTAACACCTGGGAAGATGGTAGCCCCGATGAACAGCAGCTCTTACATCTAGGAGAGTAGCCCACCCCTGTAAGGCACAAACAAGGGAACAAAAGACTACTTCCTTTTCTCCCCCATTAAAGATCCATGTGTCACATGCCAGTTGCATTCTGACCTTATCTGAATGGATCTGTTTCTAACAGTAACATCTACAAATACCTTTATCAGCCAAACGATAAATGTTCGCAGCTTCAGTTCTGTCCTTTATCCTACTGCAGGTGAAAGGTATTATGGCTTTGAGTCCTGTTGCTGGTACTAAACCAAAAAGTTGATATGTCCTGAACTTGCAGTTTTTGTTTGTTTGGAGGGGGGGGAGAGGAAGGTTGTTGTCAAAAATGTAGTGTGGTATTTACTTCACACAGAGATGGTGAAGGCCAGCATGTCTGAATGCTGAACAGAAGACTTATCAGTCAGTAAGGCTGGCAAAACCTTCTTGACACTCCTCCTATCACAGCACAAAAGGCAGGGGTTATGTTTACCCCTTTGGAAGCTATAGTCAGAGAACTGGGCAGACATGCAAATTATGCAACAAATGGCTGTATGCGTGCATGCATGCGTGCATGCATGCGTGCATGCGTGTGTGTGTGTGTGTATGTGAGAGAGAGAGAGAGACAGAGACATGCAAAAAGAATAGATTAGTGACATTTTTAGTTTTGCTACAGGAAGAAAAATATTTTACCTCTACACATACTTACATGTACTCACAGAGCTTCATGTGATAGGCAAACTGATAGGGTGAGAAGTATGTGATATATCCCTAAACAGATCTATGTATAAATATTATGACAGATCAGTAAATCCCTAAAGCCTGGCTACTCCTGTCTGTTTTCCATGGATGCAGTAAAGGTGAGTCTCTTTTCACCCATCTTTGAGGAAAATGTTTTTCTCTGAATCCTAAAGGATTCTAATATCTCCACTTCTTTTAGTGCCTTCAGGAAATTGCTAAGGGAAAAACATGCTGGGGAAAGGTACAGACCTCTGAGATGAGCAAAGAATTTGTTGCCTTTCAGTTGAATGGAGGGGGTGGAAAGAGTTGCATTCAGACGTAAGGTGGTGACAAGATATTGTTCCTTGTGGCCCAGAGTCCCTGGTAAACCAGTGGCAGAAGGGGAATGCCAGGTCCCATTGGCACGTGGGAGGTAGAATGAGAAGCATTGCATGACTTCAGCAGGGGAAACAAGCAGACACAGTTGCTGCTGTCTGGTAGATCTGGAGGACTGGTGGAAAATGTGTGACCTCTGGTTCACATCACTGCTGATGATGATCAAAAGAAACTTCTCTGACCCTAAAAGACCAGGCTTTTCCACAGCGCCTCAGCCTCTATATCCAATACAAACAGAAGAATTCAAAGCTACTGGATTAGGAGCTGGTGTGGCTTCCATTAACCCAAAGGTTTGGCTGAGTTGACTCCAGGAAAAGCTGTGCATCAAACATAATGAATCAGAAGGGAAGCCTATACATCAGACAAGCCTGGTGACCTTTGGAGCTCGATAGCATTACTTACAATGAGCATATTGGGGTGGGGGAGGGGGAGATATTCAGAAAAAAACAGTATGGGTTAAAAAAAAAAGTCCCTGCTGATAATGCATTTTAATGCATTTTGTTGCTCCATTTTTCTCTCTAATTCTTCCATTTCTATAAAGTATATACACTGGCTCCTATATATATATATAATACACACACACACACATATATATAATATATATACACACACAGTAATTTTTGTCAACAGTGACAACTTGCTGATGGGAAGCAAAAATTAAAGCAGGAAATCATTTCCAGTGAGAAGCCATCCTCTTGTAAGCAGCAAGGATTTACTGTACTGTGACAAAAATGCTTATTCCTTATAGCATAGTTCAACTGCTCTTTGTTTCCTACTTGTTTGCTGCATGCACATATAAATATTGATACATTCTTCCAGTATCTATTCAAGCCTGGAAGTGCATTAGGGAGTCCAACAGAAATGCTCCCCTTCCTTGTCTGTCTATTTGTGTGTGTAAATAGTTAGATATAGTTACGCTGAGATATATGGGTGGAATCTGCACTCAAAGGAACCAGATCAGTTTCATACACTGATTGAGTTCATCTGGGGGCCAAACTCCATATAAACTACTAGAGGCAAAAAAAAAACCCACCTTAAGCCAATTCTAGCTAGAGTTAGGTGAGCCTTTTGCCAACAGCACACACACACACATGCACACATACTCACACACATTAATGTTGTCCATTGCTGTCATAAAACTAGAGACACTTATATGAGGGTGAAAGGCCAAAAGGGGCCTTGATTTAATAACAGGGGAAACATTATTTTCTGTTATTAATTACACATTATCCATCGTACATTTGCTGCACTGAGTTTAGATAAGGTTACATCTACATTTTATTAGAAAACTTCTCAGGTCATGTTGGGGGATTTGACTTGGATGAAAAAAAAGATCTGTTTTAAACTGCCATGGGGAAATGCTGTCTTACTGTACAATCCCATCCCCCACACTCCACCACTTCTCAGTCTGCCTTTTTAGGGACTGATTCTTGCACATTCTTGAAATAGTTCACCCTGCAAATGCTAAATGAATTGAGGCTCAGAATAAACTTGGGGCTGTATCAGCCTGAAGTTCCCAGAGTCTGAACACACACACTTTCTCTCTCTCTCTCTCTCTTGTACATGCACACACATATGCACACGTTCATGGCTGTTGGATCAGTCAAATCCAAAGTGAAAAGTTATGCTCAGCAAGTGGAGACTTAAAAGTTCAAATCCAGGTCTAATTCAGTGCATTCTTTCTTTCATTTCCTTGCATTCAGCTGCTTTGGGGGAGTTGATCTTGAGCACATATCTCATTCCAAATGAGAGATGGGGGTAGGAGAGTGTTCTAGGATAAACTTGCAGCTTATGTGGATGATAGAAAATTGGTATCATTATAGAGAGCTGCATAGATTATTTAGAACAATTGGCTCTAAACTGAGCTGCACAGGTGTCTCCTTCAGCCTTCTACCCCACCTCTATATCACCAACAATTACAAGATATGGAATTATTTTCATATACTGGTCCTCCTTCCACCAGTCCTTCTTCCTCATCCTTCATCCAAGTGGTTGGCTAAGAAAGCTTGAAGGAAGGTGAATATGCAGCACATGAGAAATAAAAGAAAAGACAGGAAACAGAGCTAAAACAACCCTCATAGATACAACTCCAGATAGGTGGATGTTACTGTTGGTACTATTCCAAAATTGAGAATCTTGGATAGAGCCTTCCAGTGTGCCCAAGAAGCTTTTCCAATATAATCAGAGTTTAAAAGACATGGATTTGCCTTTTAAATATACTTTAATAAAAAGCCATTAAGCCTGGTTCTGTACACATGACTCTTTGAGGCTCTTCATAGGGCAGTATGAGGCCAGGAGAGATTCTGCCACTTATCAAGGGCTGTACGTGCTAACAGTTGTCTGTGAGTTCCCAGACCATCTTCTCATTTGATACAGTTGGGAAGTAATAACAGTGCTTTATAGTACATAATAATAATTGGAAATGTGCTAAAACCAAGCACTCACAAATTTGAAAATACCAATAAGAAGGTTTGTATGTAGAACCTTAATTTGGCCCTGCAATGCATGATGCACTTTGAAATTAAACACATTGTTATTCTCCTTTTAGAAACAGAGAATTGAGGCAAGTAGAGATTAAAGTCAAAAGTACCCCCTAATTTTGGGTACCCAATCTGGCATGCCTAGGACATGACTTTTTCAGCGTATTTGGCAGTATATAGTGCATCATGTAGAAAACAAAGTACCCACTAGGTGCATCTCATCCTTGCATGCAGTTAATGCGGCATAATAAATTCTGGAGCTGTTTGCACCCGTCAACTGCTCCTGGGCCTAGTCTCTGCACATGAGCCCAGGACAGCAGCAGTTTGAGCTGAGGCAGAGTAGCCCCGGGCTGGCAACACGCTTGGTGGGTCAGTCCTGGGCTCGGGGTGGCAGCGGAGGGAATGGCTGGGGCATGAAAGCATTAAAGTGTGGAGACATGCAGCAGGCAGTCCCCGCACTTTAGCACCCCTGTGTCCCAGCCAGCCCCATCACCATCTACACATGCATTTCAGCAAAATAAGTAATTGTGCCATAAGATAGTACTGGTTCTCCAAGGCAACATTTAACTGCCTTAATCTTGAAACCATCCTTTCTCTTGTTGTCCCCTTCGTCAGTCACTACACACAAGCTTGGCCAAATATAGACAGTTTTTCACAGGAATAGCAAAAGACACCTCCTTGACTGATACAAAGGTTACCCCTCTGCCAAAGATCAGATCCCTGCTTTGAAGTACTGTAGCACTATAGCATTTCAAAGGACTTAAGTAGTTTGTAAACATGGACCAACCAGTACATTTTTCCCTAGTCTCATTCTTGAAAACAGCTAAAAAAATTAGGCCAATTTTCCAGATTTCTTCAGTTTGAAGCAAACACATGGTAGGGAAATTTCAACCCATACTGATAAAAAGTACGCTAATCTAGAAATAACTGAACAGGGGCTTATAATGGGAAATGTCAGAGAACCTTAAGAACTGAAAGTGCTGTTATTCCTCACCTATCTTCTTAAACTGCCTTAAATCATCTCAACGGCTGTGGTATCTTCTGAGAACATATTAGGCGGTATGATGGACATCTGTCATGAGTCTTTCCCTTAATTGCCATCTTTCAATGGCTGGGCTTTTTTGGTAGGTTTTGGTTTGTTTTTTAATGGCTACATTGGTCTATATTTCTGTTAGAAAAAGCAAGATGGAGACATGTACTTTACACTTTTAAGACAAGGTAATAACATTTGTCATGGGCAGACCCTCAAATTTTTGTCATTGCAGACCCTCATAAAACTCCATCTCCTGCATGGATGAGCTTTCTCATCTAAGATCAGCCTCCTCTTTGCCACTTTTGCCATGTCAAGACAAGACTTCAGAATTTACTGAAGCATCAGGCAGAAAAAATCTTCAGCTGTACTGACTTTTTAATTTACTTCAATGGGTGTTGGCCTGTAGGAGAGAGAGCAGAATTGTACTGTCACACTCAGTTATGAAAATCTTCTCAAAAAGTAAAGAAAACTGACATTTTGGCCTTATCCATGGATATTGTATTGGGTTAATTAACTAAATAGCAGGGGAAAGTTAAAAGGAGATGAATGTGGTTTAAACTAATGTAAGTAAGTCCATAGTGTTTTATCAGTTTTAACTAAAGCCTTTTAACATCACACCTTTAGTTAAATCACTGCAAGTGTATATGTAAATCTGACAGTACTTGGTCCATTAATTTTGGTTCCATCGGGACAAGAAAAGGCTACCCTGATACAAGCGTTACCCATTTTGTGTTATGCAAAGGCTACTCCAGTTTAATTTAAACCAGTTTTTAAACTGACTTAATTAAACCACTGCAAACCTTTGCATGGGCACTCTTTTTGCCCTGATAAGTGGTTTATTTATGTTAATTTAAATTGATCCTCAACTGATTAGCTAAGCATAAAGCAGGGCAGGGTGGCAACTTCTGCCACTAACTAGATTAGCTAAATTAAGGCTGATCTGAAGTAAAACAAGTGTGTTCACACAGCTTTTCATAGTCTTTTTAAAATCAAGTCAGTTTGGAATCATACCAGTACAACTTTCTTGTGAAGATATAGCCTGTCATATAACATTTTCCGCAACAAATTTCCAAAATTTCTGCTCTTTCAAATTTCTCTGCTAAAATATTTGTTTCATTTATTAATTTCTAGCATCAGATTTAGGGGATGATTATCTGGTTATTTACATACGTATCCCAGAAGCGGGAATCTAAGCTTTCACATCTTTATTGCAAGCCTAGAAATTGAATAGTTATTGATATTTATTAAAGACTAAATCCCAGAAGGGAAAGTGGTACCTGGACTAGAGTTAGGTTTTTCATGCTTTCAGTTTGCTTAGTTTTTTGGAGGTTCACCAAGGTTTTACTTTTTGTTTAGGTATAGAACCAATAGTATTTATCAGAAATGGCAAAATGCTTCATGAGGTTTCATCCTGCAAAACAGCAATCAGAAATGATATTCACTGACTGCACAGGCTTGTATTTCTGATGGTCATTTCTTGATCCAAGCTGAACATATCTGGTGTGGAGGCCCACATTCACAACATTAGAGGGCATGCATGCTTTTCTTTAATCATTATTATTTCAGTTACAACCAGGATGAGTGATCCCATCTGGTAGATAAGAATCAAACACACACAAAAATGGTTCATCTTTCTCAACATATGGAAACCCGAATGGTAAAAGTAGTTTCAATCACCCCCACCCCTCTCTTTTTCTCTCCATATGGCTAAACTAAATTTGTGGCCCTACTTTAACTACAGTTAACTGATTAATAATTACCTAGCACGTGTTAGCTAAGCCTAACCTAAAGTGAGCTTTTGTCCTAGTCAAGAAACAAGATAATTCCTTATAGTTTGATTTATCTGGAGCTAGACTCCTGAAGTTAAGAAGTGGCTGGTTCTTTCTTCCTGCTTCAGGGTATTGTATGCTCAAATACTTGCTTGGGTATAAATACACAATTATCTATGCATTTCTGGTTCAAGACTGCTGCTTTCCCTCCATCCTAGGTTTAAAAGCCAAGTTTGTTAGTGAGGCATACAAGAAGGTCAATTTTGCATTACATGGTGGTTCCTATATGTTTACACTTTTAAGAAGTGTTCTCCTCTTTTGTTTAATTCCATATTCAGGAGCCTTTTTCAAAATGCCCCAGCCCTCTTCCATATGTACAAAAAAACCCAACTTTTTTTTGGTAATATAAAGAGCCCCTGATGAAGGGGAAGGGGGTCTAATCTAACAATGTCTAATCACTACAGGACCATCTTGAGCTAATTGAGTTTGTCTAAAATTCATCCAGCCTTTAAGGTTTAATAGAAGATGATAGTCTTAATGCATCACATGCCTTGGAGTAAATGGATACTTTCCCTTTAAAGGCCCTGTTGATGTTATGTGAAGGGGAACAACAGTTGTTATGATTCTGAAACTCAGATTGAACCCAATTAATCAATGCGGAGATGATTTGAATCATGTGGCATGCTTGGTCACCTCTCTGATATTTTATCCTCATCCCTCCATAGACTTGAGACATGATTGATGTCAAGTGTACACTGAATTTTCAAGGCAAGACAAGGCAAAGCCAAGTCAGTTGGACAGAGAAACAAATTAGATCAAAAGTGTGATCCGGGGAAAGGCAGATCAGTTTCAGAGAAGAAGCTTAAATTGCTCTTTATACCTTGGGTGCTTCGGACTGAATCAAGAAGCATCCGGGCTTGAGTTGAAGAGTGGCAGCGGGGAGCCCTGCAGCCCGGGGAGCGGCGCTCGGCCAGGGGACTGCACATGCCCCAGCGGAATCGCGACGTGCAAAACCCCTCAGAGGCACGTTTGCATCCTTGAGTTGCTCTTAATGTAAAAATAATCTCCCGGCCATCTTCAGCTCTTAGGTTACAGCCGCGGGGACCTTGTGACTTTCCTCCGAGAAAACGGATCTGGAAGAGGAGCCCTGATCCGTGCAGGGAACTATTTCAGACCCCCCCCCCCCCTTTCTCCTTACTTCTCTCCTCTGGTTTCTTCCCTGTTTGTTTCACAATCGATTTCCACATTTCGTTCATTGGTTTCATGCCTTCTCCCGCCTGCCAAGCGTTGGACAAGGGTTAACATTTTTGATCTCGCCTTGTATTTCCTCCCTCCTCCTGGATTTCAGGAGGGGGATGGGGGAGAGGGACTTGGCGTGCAGGGCTGAGTCTTGGGAAGGACCAGGCACAGCCCTGGAAAGCAGAATCGCCTTTCACTCAAGACGGGGCTGCGACTTTTTTATTTGCTTTTCCCACCTCAAAATATTCCGCAGCAGAGTGTGACAAATTAAAGGGAGGGCGAGGGGGGATGGTTAATTGCCAGTTACCACATGTGTGACATTTGGCTCCTACTCAGCTTTGGGGCTAGATCCTACGCTCAGTTCAACGGGGTGCAGTTCCGCTCCTGCCTCCCAACCCTGCACAGTGCACGACTGTCCTAGGTCTAGTCCAGCTCCTTCAGAGCTAGGGATGCTTGATACTTAGCTTATGGGGTGCAGGCTGTCAGGGCATGATCTTGTCTCCTCGAAATCAGTGCCTTCCTCACTGATTTTATTTAAAAAGGGGGCCGGTCTTCCTCTGGTTTTTAATTCTTATGTTAAGTACTTTGTAAACTGCGGTCTAGAAGAAGGGGGTGGCGGTAAAACTGGTCTTTTGAAGAGCCCCAACTCAAACTGCCCCGTAAGATTTTAATCCGGTATCTAATCACTTCCCGTGTCTGTATGGTGGAGTCATCTCCCTTCCCTGCACACAACGTGCGTGTGCCTACGGAGCAACATCTGGCAGGAGGCACATGATGGAGCCTGCTGCTTCGCATCTGGTTCTAATGCTGGACTCAGTAGTTTTATTTCTGCTCTGCAGTATAATATAAACTATACTGTTACATTACACACATCGGATTCCAGGTCGAGTCTGAGCTCCCCTGGCAGCCTCACAAAACGTTGTGTTTGAATGAAGCTTACCCCAAGCCCCGTGGTTTTAGCAGATTCCCCCTTCATGCCCGATTTTGATGCTGGGGAAGGGGCGAGGTGCTACTCCAATTCTCCGAGATGCTGTGGGACAAGCTCCTTATCTTGTCAATTAGCAAATGACAGCAGGGGTATGGTAGATTTATTCCGTACAAGGATCCACATTCAGCTTCCATTCATCTGATGTCGTTTGGGGCTTGCCAGCCCTGAGATGGGAGGATGGCAGCGCTGGGGGCATGGGCATGGGCATGGAGCTTTAGCACTTTACCAGAAAGGTGTGTTTGGAATAGGATGGGGGCTGGACCACTCCACACAACAGCCCTTGGACGATTTGTACGGAGACACTCGCTGTGCCATGCCGATTAAAGACACCCCTGAGAAGTGCACCTCTACCGAGCTGTGGCTTGCTTTTGCAAGCCTTCACCCCTGCCAACTGATCGGGCTGGCGAGGCTTTCGGATATTGGGCTGGCAATGAGGAAGCTTGGAGATGCTAAGAAGCCAATTAACTTTCTTGAAAATAAGAGACCTTGCCCCATTTAAAAAAAAATGATGGTATCTATTTTTATGAAATCGCCCGTTATTAACAGTTCAATACAGCGTCTCCTCATCTCTTTAATAGCTTGTAGAGTGGCTGCGGGGAAAGGGGGGCGAGGGGGAGGGGGGAGCTTGAAGAAGTTAAATTATGTCAAGATTATTTTTCATTACGGTTTTTAATAGTAAAGAAGACCCCAACCAAACTACTGTTAATCCGGTTCAGTGACGAGGCAAAAGCCTTTAACTGTATATTTTACTCATTAAGCACATTTGCGCAAAAATCGTGCAATATAATTGCCTGTTTATCCTATACCTTTATTCGTTTTCTGCTCTTTTTTCAATCAAAAAGGCACTGCTGTATGAATATATATTAGCTACGTTTCTTGACACATTTTTTTCCCCAATGGAAATCATGAGAAGACGCTTCCTAAACAGAAGATCTGCTGTGTGGAGTGCAAATTATTTATATAGGCTACACAACCTATTTACATCTATTTATCTCTACATGTCTCTCCTAAAGAGTCCGGGGCTGGGAAATAGATGTTCTGGCGAACAAAAGACAATCACTTCCGAGATGTCTATGTATTGAATCGCATCAGGGCTTGACTGCACATTCCCCCCTCCCTAAAAGCCGAGAGCGCCAGGACATCTTGGATGCTTTGAAGACTTCCTCAGTCATTTAAGAAAGGAAAAATCCACTCTTGATTGCATTAACCCTTTATATTCCCAGATCAACTGAAGGAAAACCTATAGCTGTGAAGTTTTTGTCCCTGTATAAGTGGGATGTTTTCGGTTGAGGAGATGGACGGTGGGTTTCCACAGGGAGAAGTCTGCTTAAGATCGAGTTGTGAGGAGCATTAAAAAGAGGGACCTTTCTGCTTGGGCAAGGCAGGTCTGCCAGGCAGAGGAACCAATGAGAAACAAACCTGTGGCTGTGCTCGGGTTGTTCAAGTGCCACTCACTCCTCTGCCCTCAAACAAAGCGGGGGCAGCCCGAGGCTGCCCTGGAGCGGCTGGACCTGGGCTGGACGCGTGTCTGCGGAGCGGGGGTGAGGCTTTCCTCCCTCCCGGAGCCGGGACCGCTGCCACAGGCCGCGGCAGTGCCGGCCGGGGCCGCGCGTGGCGGCGCTTTTGCCATCGCGCTGCTGAAAGTTGGGGTCCGCGCACAGACGTGCGGGTGCGGAGCGCGTCAAAGCGGTGATTTCGGGGAGCGGGACTGAGCAGAGCCTGAATGCCAGAGCGGATACAAGAGTCACACACACACACACACACCGCTTTTGTTTCAATGCTGGTGAATGCATGGCTCCACAATCACTTTAGCTTGGCCAGGACAGTGCTCACGAAAGCCTTGCTTTCTTGCAGGCTGGAGGGGAGGAAAAGTAACCCGTTTTAAGCCCCCCCCTGCACAAGCCGAAATGAATTTACATCGATTTTGTTTCCTGCCCAGAGTCTCCTACAAATCACATTTGCCGGTTCCCCCCACCCTCTCTCAACTTTTCTCCCCCTCCTCCGTGCTGCTGCCGCCTCGCGAGTCTGCACATTGTCACTCAACGGCAGAGCCCGTTCCAATCTCGACTCCTTTGTGTTCTTTCAACCCTCTGCCTAATTGTATTCCCAAATGGATTTGCTTTGATGGATTTACTTCCTTTTATAATTTCCAAGTTATGTATCCTGGTTTTGCCTTTCCAACACTTAATGTGGAAAAAGTGCCCCCTTCTCCCCTAAACCCGAGCTGCGCTTTGCTGACTTTCAGAGGTGTCTGCAGGGGTTTTCTGTTGTTTTCCCTTTACCGAGTCTTTTTTTCTTTCTCCTTTTTTTTTCTCCATTGGTTAAATTTTCACACAGCCATAAATCACCCTGTCTGCTCCAAAAGGCAGGTATGGCATAAGATATGGCGAAGCATTCCAAGAGAAATGAAAAATGAGGAACTCGATGAAATACAGGGTAGATTATATCCTACTTACACACAAAGACATCTTCTATAAAGAAGTCTGGAGAGAGTAAAGCCATGATAAAGATTAATGTATAATATATGCCACATATGCACTCCCTCTAGCCCTCTCTCTACTAAATATCTATTTATTCTATTTATGTTTAATATGTCATATACTGTAGTATGATTTTATTTCTATCTTTCCATCTATACAGTGTGTATACACACATATGTTTAGCCTATATATGCATAGGATTTTTGTAGACAGGAAAAAGAAGCCTGGAGAACTTGGAAGGGAAGAAGACAAAAAACATGGATTGGCTAGGCAAAGATACTGGGCCTGAGAGAAATGCGGCCTGGGATATTATTTAGTGGGAAAAAAATAATTTGAAATTAAGGAAGAGGCTAGGAGACTGAGGAAAAGGACTGCCTGGGCAAAGGGACTGCAGATAGGGAACTAGGCTGGAAACTGGGATGAGCAACCCTGGGAGGAAGATAGATCAGATTGAAAGCTAAATTAAGAGGAAGCTGGCTCTTAGATGGAGAGCCCAGAGGGGAAGACTGGCAATGAGTAAAGAAACTGGGATTGGGATAAAGAGCCCAGAGATCTGGGGATAGAGTAGAGGCATAAGAGCTAGGGTCTGTGTCCTGGGCAGCAACTGTGGCATGGGTGACACCTGGTGCTAGGCTGGTAGGAGCAGCAGCTGCATTTCTCCTCCCTCTTGGTGGGTGCCTCGGGCTGTCGCCCCTGCCCTCCCCACTATGCTACTGGGATAGAGACTGGAACTAGATAGGCAAGGAGACTGGGAGAGTTGGAAAATAGAGCTGGGACAAGAATAGGTTAGAGAAGACAGGACAAAGAAGATACGCTGTGATAAGAGAGTGGAAGTATCCCCCCAGGGAAGACTCCCCTCCAGAGCCTGGAATAGAACCAAAGATTTCCAAGTCTTAGCATTCCTTTGCTGTCAGCAAATACCTGTGAAAACCTCTGACAAAGTGTTCCCTTCTCCCCTTGAGTTGCCCACAAAAGAGAGTGACAACCTACTGCAATTGGTTACTCCATTAGGTCAAGTGGGAGAGGTTGTTACAGTAGATCTAAGGGTTCCAGTCAGGTGGTGGTTGACCCATGTGAGCACCACTATGATGCCATGTGATTTAATAGTACACACTAAACTAAATGTAACACATTGAAACAACATGGCAGTGGCAAAGTCAAGCACTCAGTTGTTAGGAAATACTGAAGCAAAGTTGCCTGGGCAACCTTAATTCATCTTTCTTGTTTACATGCATTATAATCCCATCTCTAATTACATGATCATACACTATGTTTACCCATAGGGCCCTTTGCCTCATTCAGTTCCTGGGATGGTTTTTGCTCTGGGGTGTGTAAGAGCTGCATATTGAAGGAGACTGTCATCTATAGGACCTTTGTCTTATCTTTTGTGGAAGTCAGGTGGTATGTAGTGACTGATGCGGTGGATGTCAGGATGGTCTCATGGCTAAGACTGCACTTGAAAATCAGGTTCTATCCCTGCCTCTATCACAGCGTTCCTGTGTGATGCTGGTCAAGTCACCTAGACCAAGGTTTCCACAAGTGATTACAAAATGAATATTCCTCATTTTGGGGTTCCCAATATAAACTCTTAGGCCTGATTTGCAGAAGTGCTGAGCACTCGCAACAGCAAGTGAAGCTGCTGAAAGCTGTGTTTTGAGCATATAATGCAGAAA